CTTTGTTGAAGATTCAATGTTATCTGCTAAGCAATAAGCGAACTAAATTAGCTTAAGATTAGACCGCCTTCGTGAAAACTTCGTACGGTAAGAATGTATGATCTATAATAGGAAATTATGTAATAATTTAGGGATGTTGAAGATTGCAATCGAATGCTAGGATAAATGTTACTTTTAAAACTCTACGTACCTCTTTTTAAAGGTATTTAAGGAACATGAGAGAATAAAATAAATTCATAAGCCTTTAGGTAAATCTAAAACAAATCGATGCTTTCCATGTAATTATAAATGATCTTACTTAATTCGGGAAAAGTAAACGTAGCATACAACGTAATTACCTCTCGTTATGTGGTTGAGTAAAACCTAAACATATAATATTATAATGATAGCCTTATTTATTTTTTACAGTGATAAAAATAAGATAAGTATTAAAGGCGTTCTATTTTCTACACGTGCCGTGCCAAATATACAACCAGGTTTTTTTACCTACACACAACTCTGGATATTTTACAGTTGGCAGCACCGAGTTTGTATTTCGGTTATGTCTAACAGATTGAATGTCATATTTTTATAACGCTCGATATAGTGATACTAAAGCAATTTTTGGCCTTTCGCTTTTGATTTTATCTTAAAGATTTTTTTCGATACTTTTCAGGCACATGAAAGGCCGAAATGATATTGTATTCCGAAATTGACCGCTGTATATTGTCTCTGAAACGCTAGTCAAGTGTTTTGTTACCTATATAACTGTTTATGTATTTTGTAACTTATATAACGTTATATAAGAATGTAATAAATCAGTACTGTCTTTGAATTGGCTTTTATTTGTGACTTGTGTTAACTCATATTCCTTGATATTCTAAAGGTTATTACATTAATGACAAAAATAACAGATTTTTCTGTTACTTTGTTTTGAGGTCTTACAGAAAGAATTTAAGAATACTAAACACATATTACAATATTTGATTTTTAGCTATTAAAAAATTTAAATACACAAAAACTATTCATGAATTCATTAATGGACAACGTTTTGTTATACTTTACTTCTTATATCCATATACGTCTTTCTGCTTTTTTCAAACGGGTTATCAGCGATTGAAATTTTTTGTTAACATTAGTTATATTGGTAATGATATAATCACATAAGATATAAAACGTAAATGTCAGTTTTAAACAATTAGAACGGTAGTAAGATACTTAAAAAGCATCTAATTAGTTAAAAACTTCCATTAGAATTCCACCCGTATGTTCTGCAGAGTATTATTTGAATCAAATCGACTGTAGTGCACCGTGATCGTCTATTACCTACTATTACCGATAAAAATAAGCTTTGATTAACTTATAAAGTATCAGCCTATACAGTCATGTCCCACTGCTGGGCAAAGGCCGCCTCTGTACAGAGGACATAGTCCACCACGCGGCCTCAGTGCGCACTGGCGGACTTCACATATCTTCGAAATATTTCTTTTTGTTATTATTTCGAAAATATGCAGATTTCCTCACGATGTTTTCCTTCACCGCCGAGCACGTGATAATTCGGCACTTAAAATTAACAATTACAATGGCGCCGGCACCGGAGATCGAACTCAGGGTGATCAAGGATATAGAAGGCGAGCGCCCGGACACTGAGCTATCACGGCTCGATTAACTTATACCTCTATTTAAATAAAAAAAAAGTTCTAAACCGGTATGAAGACAAGGTTTTGGGTACAAATCCCAGCGGCGTGTGTCAATGACTTCGCGATTTTTCCTTGTCAAAATACTACTCTTACGGCTTTGAAACACTGATCATCGTAGATGTCAAATAATCAGCTGCCAAATGGTTTTCAAATTTCATTTTAGTTGCCAAAAGGATGGTTAAACTCTTTGGATTGATCGTTCTGATCATTAGAAGATCATTCTGGTCAATTTGTCAGTTGACATCTACGACGATCACTGTTTCAGAAACCGGCCGTTACTAAATCTTATAAATTGACATCTTGGACTTAATGAGCTTGTTGAAGTGATACACTTGAGTGTCCCTTACTTTTTTCGACCGACTTCAAAAAAGAAGGAGGTTCTCAATTCGACTGCATTTTCTTCATGTTTGTCACATTAGAACTTTTGACCGGGGGAACCAAATTTGATGATTCTTTTTTATTTGAAAGCTGGTGCTTCCCATGTGGTCTCATATTAAATTCATTGGTATTGGATCTTGGGCTCCGGAGATACTTGGGGAACTCCTGAATCCTGACTTCGAATTGTAAAATGAAAACAGAGCGAGTTATTTGAAGGCGGTTTTGTTTTTCGTTACTAAATATAGACATAGTACTACACGTTCGTTACTAAATATAGACACAGTAATAGACATATAGTGCATCAGTACCACGGCCGCACAGAAGATGGCGTAAAGTAACATTACGTATCTATACTGTTTCATTTCGTCTGATGAGCGAGGTTCTGTCGGAGTTAAAGTGAGGTGTCGTGAGGCGGTAGTCATTTAGCTTTAGATGAGCTACATGCTCGTTTGCTGCCTTCTCCCGTTAAAAGTATCTCCTCTCCTATGTACGGACTTTTTTAATATCTAAAAGGTGACAACGGTGCGTTTCAACTTATTGTTTGAATCGAAAGGGGACGATTTGAGTGATGAGAAGACTTAGGGTCGTGTGATAAGTCACCGCCTGTCATGTTCGGATAGTAAACTCATGGGGACTCCGTCGCGCAGTTGCCAAGGTATTGGCTTCGGCGTCGGTGGTCTTAGGTTCGATTCCCACACGAGACAACTATATGTGCGGCCCACATATAATTGTTTCGCATCTGGGTGTCTGTCCACGAGAAATTTGTGTTTGTAAAACGTCCTTACAGCACAGGATAATGTTATCCTAAAAGGGCAATGTTAAAAAAAATGCAATAACAATGTTTAGCTCTACTAAGTTTATGTTACATGTTATTGTTTATTCCTGTTGTGTTTGTTTAGTTCGTGCACATAGTCTTTTTGTGTTCTGATAAATAAAATGTATTGTTTCTTCAATAACAAAAGTGCAATGACCTTATCGTGATAGTGTCAACGGAAAAGTTATTTCATACGTTATAAAAAACAAACAGTTTAAATGACAATGTACTTTTGTTGCAGCAGTTCTATTCATATAACGCGCATTATAATTTTAGTTAGTTTTAGCATAATCGATTAACTTAACAATCAATTAAGGGCGTTAATTACTTAAGAAATAACAATAACGACGTGATATTTATTTCTTTATGATTTGTGCTGATGTTAATAGTATTTTCTTATGCATTTATAATGAAATGGATGCCGAGCAGAGCATCATTAAAAATCCAAACAACTTGTTTTAATTACAATAATTTATATATCAACAACGTTAATTTTAAGCTCTCAAAAAAAATTACGGAACAATACTTAATTATTTGTTTATTCGTCACGAAGAGGCATAATGCAAATATAATGCGAAAGTAGCTGTGACTGAGTAATAATTATATTCGCAGAGAGTTTTGTATTTTGCTACATCAGCCCGTATCATTATTTCATTCTGTATCGTTTGGAAAACTGTAACTATGTAGACTAACCTCGATAAGGGAAGCCCTTGTCGATTAGCTGATAACGCTGTCATATGGGACTGAAATTCGGAACAGTCGTTGACCCGTCTTATTGTAGTGATGCAACTTACATGCCGATTTTATTTACATTTAACATTTGAGTATTTTAGAGCTGTGACAGCTCAGTCTACGTGCTCGCTTTTAATTTAATATACTCGAGGTCGCATGGTAGACAATGCCATAATACCCTCTGTACTCCCCAGCAATAGGAGTTGTAAAGGCTGTGACTTTATTATTACATACTTTGCTTTGGAGTATTTTACATAAAAGCCAAACAAATACATTTAACGGTCATCAACGCGTTTGTAGCTCCTTTGGTGTTGCCAATATCAATGGAAGGCGATGATCTCTTACTGTGTACCATAAGAAACACAGAAGCATATTATTTCCACTTTATGCCGGTCTTGTCAGGCCGTGGTACTTCGTGTTTCTTCGTGCAAAAGCAAAGATTGAACCGATAAAACGTAACACAAAATTCCAATAATTATTATTTTTTTATGCGAGAAAGTGGCAAACGAGCTGGCGGTTCACCTGATGTTAAGTCATAACCGCCGGCCATGGATAACAATGGATGGCAACACCCAGGGCAACGCAACGCATTTGCAACCAACAGGGTTGCAAATGCGTTGCTACCTATAAATAAAGTGGGCCGGGCTACCTCTCTCACCAGACGAAACGCAGAAGTAACACTTCCACTTCACGGCGCCGGTATTCTGTGAGGTCGTGGTACTTAACCAGACGGACGGTCCGGCCCGGCACTAATGAAATTGTTAATTTTAAGTGCCGAATTATCGCGTGCTCAGCGGTGAAAGAAAACATCATGAGGAAACCTGCATATTTTCGAAATAACAAAAAAAAAATTTCGATTATATGTGAAGTCCGCCAATCCGCAGTTGGGCCGCGTGGTGGATTATGACCGGATACCCTCTATACAGAGGAAACCTTTGCTCAGCAGTGGAACATGTATAGGCTAATACTTTACACTTAGACAGACAGCAGAATCTTAGTAATAGGGTCCCGTTTTACCCTTTGGGTACAGAACCCAAACAACAACTACTCTGCTAGCATTGCCACTTATTGTTATTTTATGTGTAAGGCTATAAATCCAAATATTTTAATCAGCAGAAAGAATTGAGTCCATTTGAGATTTGGGTATCTTTCTTTCTGTTCTTAAAACTAAAAGCATGACAGTATATGCATTAATAAAACAACCTTATGGAATCTTATATTTTCTTTAATAATCACAAAATTATTTAAAACTTTATTTCAGTTTATAATTAAATAAAGTGTGTGTAACTTTATTTAGTTCAAACTGTATTGAATTTGTTTTTAGTTCAGAATGTAAATTTTTTTTTGAAAATAATCAAGATACTTTTACATGTCAAGCCAGTTGTTATATATAGTTAATTTACAGCTTTTAAAAACTTTTTGTCGGCTATACTTTTAATTCTTTCAACAATTGTACTAACTTCAGCCATAGCTCCAACACCTGTGTCACCACAAATAAGTAACTTTTTGATTGGAGGTATTTCTTCATGACCCCATTCCTTTAATATTTGTATGTGTTTTGATGTCACAGGATGCTCCCACATTCTAGTATTCATTGCGGGACAAAACAACAATGGTTTATTCATATCCCATGCACGGGTGATGCAAGTTAAAAGGTTATCACATATTCCCTGAAACACCTTTTGTTATTAGTTTTTATTCTAACATTTTTAATCTTCTGTATTTCTTGCTTTATTAAAATTTCTGATGATATTATCTAAATAGGAAATTATTAAAAATCTTGTGAAAAAATCCATAAAAGTAATGTAAAAGCCTATGCATGTCCACAAGTTGAAATTTATAAATATTTTTAATTAAAAAATGTATTTAAAGAAATAATAAATGAACTGTTATAGCTAATCACCTGAGCCATTTTTGCTAGAGTGTTAGCGTCTAAAGGTGCTATAATTATCATATCAGCCCATTTTCCAAGGTCTATATGAACAACAGGATCCCCTCTTTGTTTCCAGCTTTTCCATTCAGTGGCATCATCGTAAAAAGCAACACTAGATGGTAGATTAGAGCTTTCAAAGAAGTGCTTAGCATGCTCTGTCACTACAACAGAAATCTAATAATAGCGTTAAGTATAATACTAGTTTCATAATGTTACATTCATATACATAACAAAAATAGTATTGTAAAGTAAACATAACCTCAAAAATGTACTGTTGTTTTCTGTTTAATTCTAATAAAGATTCTATAATAGCGGGTATTTTCAAAGCAGCAACGCTTCCTGTCGCAGCCAAAAGTAATTTATAGGTTTGTTTGTTCATGCTAATAGCAATGGGATCACGAAATAGAGATTTTAATGGCAATAAGAGAGTATGACTGATGACATTTATGATGTTAGTGTTCAAAAACACACATTTGTTAATTTATGAATATAATTTGTCAAAATATATAACTATTATATTATAATTATGTACTATAAAGTTTATGTTTGTTTTTCTGAAATTACTTTTAAGATACCAATGTAAACATTTCGTAATGGCGACTACAATAACTTTTGTAATGGCGTGAATTGAATTGACTGACCAAAGTCCAAACTTACCAAAGTTATAATAATAGAAAGTAGATTAGGTCTTCCCAACTTAGGGGATTAGCCCCAAATTTAGGGCGGAAGTATACATATTGGGGTTTCTTTGGGGTCCAAAAAAGTTTAGGGCCGTGAATAATCTTTTATTTTTTTTAGGATTATTTACGGCTGATTTTAAGGTAATTTTCTTTTAGTAGCTGGCAGCACTGTAGACCGTAAGAAAAATAAGAAAAGAAAGAAAATTGTCAGTTTGACATGGTCTGCGGCTTGAAATGTAGTGTAGGTCGGCTTGAAAAACTTGCTAAATTACGAAAACATTATTTCTGACAATAATCATTTATTTTGGAATTCAAATGTTGTTTTTCTCTATATAAGTGATATAAAATAAGATATGTGAGTGAGTGTTGTACTATTGCAAACTTAAAAAATGGATGGAAATGCGAAGTATTACGAGGGCTGTGGACAGGAAGGGCCCATTCGTTGTATATTTTTGTGTGAATTTCATCCTACAGCTGGACCGAAGATCACCTGCCAAGTTCCAGAAAATTATATATCAAAAGATATTTTCGACACCGTTAGTCATTATATTATACCGAAAGTGCAATTGCAGAGATGCACACTGACTGTGTAAGTGTACCTTATTTAATTTACAACCGGTGACGATACGTTGTATTTTATGTGTAAACTTTTATTGTATTTTAAAGATTACTAAAGTCAAATAATACAATCCCTTTGGACAAGAGCATCAATAGAGATAGACCTTATCAACCTTTGTTATCTCGCGGCAAATTGTTTACAAACATTCAATTTAAGGTTAGCGACCTTTTTGCACATATAGTCACTAAAAGATATGTTAAACTATTAAATTTAATACAAGACTTTTATTTTTAGGTACTCTACGAAATACTTTTTTTTTAATATTATTCCTCTCAGCTAAAAGTATATATTTAATAAAATATGAACCTTTTTGAAAAAAATTGAAACCTTATGTCCAGTTGCTCTGTAAAAAAATTTTGTTGTTACCAGAACCCTTCTTGGCTCAAAAATACTGGGATTTCCTGTAAGAATAGATAACAAGAAGTATGCAAGAAATGCGTACTATTTCAATCTTTGTTTTGTCTGTGATGCATGGGCAAGGACTGTGCATCTTGAGCCATTGGTCAAGAAACTCACAGAATATTTAGTAAGTAGTTATTTATATATAGTATATGTTTTAAAATTATATAAGGAAATTTATAGTTAGATGGGAAATTAACTTTTTCCTTCATAATGTAAAATGTTTATCTTATTACAGAATCTCTAAAGTTATTGTTACATCTTATATAATCTTTATATGATCTCAAATTTTCAACAAGTCCATACTATTTATTTAAATATCAAGTATTGCAAACCAATTTCATTATTTTAGTGTAAGTTTAATAAAAACTAAAAATGTCAGTTGGTATATATTATATCTATGTCATAAGCCTAACATAATGTGAAGATACTTTTACATAATTGTTTCAGCTATCCATGGAATTGGAGACTGAGTGGTTATCGAAGCAGTCAAAATCTGGTGATGCCAAAGATCTTGGTGGTTTAATGAGACAGGTGATGCAGGATATCAACTGCAGAAGAATGTGTACTTTGACTGGTGAGTTTTTTTCCCTTAAAATTTATTTAAATTTACTATATTATTAATAAAGTAAGCCATGAAAACAAAACTACTCAGAAAAGTTGTTATGAGACATTATTCTGACATCATTATTTCTAGATTTTTTATGTTCCACACTATTACGAATGCCCACTACATCTTTAATGTCAGGGACTTAATGTACAAAGATTGACTTCCTTCATAAAGTCCTTATTGCTATGTGTCTCTCAATGGAACTAGCGGTTTATTGCTACAATTTTTTTTTATTTGAGAAGGAGGCTGCTCGCCATTTTGACATTTGCAACACTTGTACGGTTGCAGACTATATTAAAGTAGGCTCCGGCTAACTCACTCACCAGACGAAACGCAGAAGTGTAGCACTTCCAGTTCACGCCGGTCCTCTGTGAGGTCGTGGTACTTACCCGGATGGAACTGCCCCGGGAAACAGCGAAAACTGTTGGGTGGCCCTACCACCATACGCCTTAGTTACACGCATTGCTGATCCAGCGTATCTCTTTACTGGACTCCGCGGAAACTGACGCTTACGCAAAGCAATGACGGCGGAAAACAGCATATCAAGTGACGGTAGGAGAAACTCTGGAGCCTTTGTCGGATGAAGCTTCGAAACCTGAGAGTATCAAAGCGTGTGTAAAATATAACTGTGGCCACGAAACAGTCTTCGCTGTTGGACAAATGGGCTGGTCCGTCCAGGAAAGTAGCACGACCTCACAGAAGATCTATAGGCCCCTTAAAGTTCAGCAGCGTTTTCGTTTCTGTGGTACTGCGACGGTGATGACGTACAATCATGATGAAAACCGATTGAACTAGTCCTCAATAATTCTTTTGTATATCCATCATCGAGGCGCGTAACATGAAACAATTCAGTGGGCGAGTTGTTGTTAAAACACGCGTAAGGCATTATTAACGAAATTTTAATACGGCTGAACTTATCCTAACTATACTAACTTATACTAACCGACTTATCGGATGAGGTCGCGCCACGTCTCGCCTAGGACCTCCGAATAGGTCCGCAACTAGTCAGTACACAATGTCTGTACCCGACTAGTTTAAACTTTACCGCTTAAACGTGAGTTCCGCCGTCTTATTATTTCGTTAGTACGCTGTTGTTAAAGCGGAAAACTTAGATGTGACGTTGTTACGACCTTGTTACGACCATCGCGATAATTCAAGCGCTTTTAGTCTGCGATTTATAGATGCTTCGATGGCTGTTATTGCGATGCGATTCTTTTAAAGTTCACTCCCGGCGTGCATCGACAGGTTAATGATCCGTAAAATGAATAGTGTTTACTATATCTAACCATATTGCAACGGATATTTGGCATATAAAATAGCATGTAGTCTTCCGAAATAGAACCCCGCACCATGAAACAATAAAGTTTTTTTTAAATGACTGTATAAATAGAAACTTTTTGGCTACCCTTAATAACATTATGGATGCTGGAACAAAAACAGTGCAAAAAACATTTCACTTTATGTTGAATTTCGCATTTAAAAAGACTAATCAAATAAATTTGGAAGTTTAACGATTTCTTTGTTGTTTTGTTTCTAACATTATTCAAATGGACTGGACCTTGGTTGAGGTCGCAGTGTTTACTTTATTCGAATATTATTACGTTGGCTTTATTTTTTCTTATTAAAATTAATCTTAAACAAGCATACCTACAAGATAACTAACAAAGTTTTCCTTATTACGGTCAGTAAAGGTTGCATGGCAAACATCTACTTAAATTGTATATTGCTTACACTTTACATAAATTATATACCAAATATTCTACTGATATTTCTATATCCGATACTGAATCTAACATGATCAAATCTTGAAAATCTAACATAGACAACCTAACCTACCAAAAAGTAACAATAATCTTAATAGGATTAATTCCTAACTAAATCGAAGTCACCCAAATCCACAATCCAGGAACAATCCGTCTGGGAATCCAACCCACGATCCACCGCGCCGAAGCATTGCTCAGCAACTGCGTTACAGAATAACGAGGGATCGTCTTAGGCTGTGCAAATAAAATCACGAAACGTGTCCCGTCTTTATTATAGTTGCAATCGATCAATTTACGACCGGTGTCAACTCATAAATTATGTATAAGCACTGGCGGTCTATTGTTAAGTGAACAATTGGCTATCTGTACTCACCTATGCGTACGTAATAAAATCGGAAACACTGTCCGCTATGATTGATTATTAATAACACTATACATTGACCATTATCACACTGACGCCCGGTTTCTGAAACACTGATCATCGTTGATGTCAACTAAACTGTCTGGTCAATTCAGAGAGTTTAACCATCCATTATGGCAACTAAAATGAAATTTGAAAAGCTATTTGACAGCTGATTACTTGACATCGACGATGATCAGTGTTTCAGGAACCGGGCGTGAGCTGTCGTCTAAATCCAGGGTTTCAAACTAAGCCAGCAATCGTAAAATAGACGCACATAATATTTAACATTTACTATTTTAATTTGTATAGTGCTAATCTCTGCGCTTACGACGAAACATTAAAATTTGTAGACAAAAGAATCGAACCCACGTCTTCCGTATTCGTGCCTAGACGCTAATTTTTTTTTTTTTAATGTGAATGGTTGCCAAACGAGCAGACGGTTCACCTGATGGTAAGTGAATACCGCCGCCCAACCTTTTGAAAATTGAGCTCCGGCTACCTCACTCACCAGACGAAACGCGACAATATTTATTTAATAAAATATAAAATAAAAAAAAACTAAGCCGGCGGATTGCCACACCGATTAAAATCTGTACGTCTTTTATCCGCATTATTGTTCGTCTTTTTACTAAAAGTTTTAATTAACATTTCTTTTTTAGAAATAATACCAGTTGTAACCGCGACATTGCCCATGTGATCTATTTTTTAAATATCTATAATCGTTAAAATGAACTATTAAGTATGCGCTAAATTTTAATTCCAATTTGCAACTCCCGAAATAATTACAGCGTCCAGGAGATAAAAATTAAACTCTTAAAATTATTTATTTAACAAATTTTACTATTCGCATATAATGTTGTTGTTGGGATATGATGTTTTATGTAAAAAAATAATTGCTGAATTGGGATTTGAATCTGACCGAGCACGTCCTACGTCACTGCCTAGCTACGGACTTGTCGCTCCGTCAACCCCCAAAAATGCTAAGGAATCCCCCGTCTGTAGTATAAGCCGACCGAAAGTATGCAATGTCCAAATACTAAGATAGTACATAATTTTGTTCGTGATGATGAGATAAACGATGCAGCGAAGTAAACTCTGGCTGTGCTGCCAGATCATCGAGAATTTGACGATTAATAAAATGAAAACAGTAAAAAAAACAACGGCGACAGTTCAACACGGACAGTGGAATTTTATTAATTCTCAGAGACGCAGTAGTTTCCCGGCTGTTTTAATACAAATATGCGTAGCGGACGCAGTCTTGAGAGAATAAACATACTGAATATGTCTCCGCTCTATGTGTTTTCCATCCTCACACTGATAAAAATACTATATAGATCGAGTCTCGGTGACGCACAATAGGTATTTTTTTAGGCTGGCCGAGAACCAAAAAATATACATGTACACTAATATGACAAAGAGGTTATTGCCTCTTTGTTTGTACGTTTTTATTTATTTGTATCGATAAAAATGTATACAAAATCCTCTATGAACTAATAAGATTATGATCAGAAATTGGAACTTGACCATATATTGCCGCCAGCTCGGTGACTTCACTAGATATAAAACTCACTTTGAAGTCTTATTTCCAACTAGGTAAGTTTGGAGTAGTCGGGTCGTTCTTTACTTGTTTGCCGCTTGGCTATGGCTATGGTTTTCTTATTTTACACACGGTTTGAACATAATTATTTCTCCGTTCCTTTACGTTGATATATTAATAATCATGTTATAAATCGTTTATGTCGTCACCATTCCATATATTTTTTTAACTGTAATATATACTTTTTTTTAGTAATTTTCTTTATGTTCTGATTTTTTTCCTTTTTCACTGTATTTTAGTTTAATATTAAAATTTTTGTAATGTTTGTATTTCACCTTTAGCTTTTAACAATTTGGATGTTAAAAAGTAGTTTTTCCTTTCTTTAATCATTCATCACTTTTTGTAAACATTGTTTATTTATTGTGTTTCAGTGTGTACTTTGCTAGTGATAAATAAATAAACAAATAACTATGGAGCTCTGCCGTTGTGCGCGCATCGTGAGTAAACTTCTAGATAGATTTCAATTGATTCTATTATGTTTTATTTCTAAGACACTTGTGCCAAGTTATCTAAAGAAAAATAATATAAAAATAATAAGATATGAGATATCTTCATATAATGTTATTAAAAAACTTTTAAGTGGAAGGCTCCATTGTGTTTTCTCCTCTCTTAATGGAATTGCCTCTTATGTGTATTACCGTTATCTAGGTCTTTTTAGAGATATTCATATCAATGGATTCATTAACACGTACAAAATCTAAACAAATATTCGAAATGTCTGTACTTAATGACCGTTAAATAAGAAAATCTATAAAGCAGCGTTATTAAATTATTTATCTGCAATTAGATCCCATCCATATAATATTTTATTCGACTTCGCTTTGGCTGTTAAAACGTTTTGTTTACCGAAATAACGTACAGCAAAAAAAGAACCTACAGTTAATTAGGGAAATCGGCATTGTTTTATCGTACTTATTCTTTTCAAAACACAATCTTTTTTTAAATTTATTTACGAACACCGCATTTTGATAAACGAAACTGTTTATTTGACGAAACGCAAATACTTTTTCTTAAAGGTGTTTATTTGACTATCGTATCTCTTATCCTTTAAACGAGCAATTCTTGTATATATATATATATATATATATATATATAGCAATTATTGTGTATATATATATATATATATATATATATATATATATATATATATAATCGGAATCTCGGAAACGGCTCCAGCGATTTTCATGAAATTTAGTATGTGCAT